AGAAATATCAATTCAGTGGCGGATTCAAGCATACAAAATGACGCTGCAGATGTGAGATAGCAATTACAGAATTCAATTGAGGGTTTAAAACCTCAACCGAAGATGGACAAAATGTAGACTCAAGGCCTGATACTATTCAGAGTCGGAAGAGAACGAAAACATCAAAACAACAATTGAGGAACTCGAAGTTGTGGTGCTGTTTATACATTGGCCGGGCAGAAAGTTTATATCGGAACCAATCTGATCCTAGAGTTGAAAGGTAAGTTAATTGAATTCTTAAAAGCTAACGCAGATTGCTTTTCTTGGGCGCATTCAGATATGGCAGGTATACCCCCGGAGGTGATGACTCATAAGCTGTATGAAGACCCAACACACCCACATGTCAAACAAAAGAAAAGGAAGCAAGGATCCTTCAAAAACCAGGTGATTCAGGATAAGGTTCAAAAGCTTTTAAAAATTAGGTCTATCCGAGAGGTAAAATATCTTAATTGGCTAGCTAATACTGTAGTGGTGCCCAAAAAGAATGGTAAGTGGTGAGTTTGTGTAGACTATACTAACTTGAATAAAGCTTGCCCTAAAAATTCTTTTCCTTTACCGCACATAGATCAACTTATTGATGCTACTGCAGGACATGAATTATTAAGTATTTTAGATGCCTGCTCAGGATATAATCAGATAAAAAAGGATCCTTTAGATGAGGAAAAACTTTCTTTATTACAGAAAGGGGGACTTAATGTTATAAAGTCATGCCTTTCGGTCTAAAGAATGCTGGAGCCACATACCAGAGGTTAGTAATGAAGATGTTCCAGGAGTACCTGGGAAAAACCATGGAAGTATACATTAATGACATGTTAGTCAAGTTAACACAGGCGGGGGATCACATCCAACATTTGTTAGATACATTTCAGATTCTCCGCAAAATCAATATGAAGCTAAATCCCGAAAAGTGTGCATTTGCCATGTCATCGGGTAAGTTCTTAGGTTTCCTTGTTTCTAACCGGGGAATTAAAGTAAATCCAGCGCAGATTAAAGCTATTGAAGAAATACTGGATATACTCACGAGCAAAACCGAAGTGCAGAGGTTGACAGGTAGGATAGCAGCATTGGGAAGATTTATATCTAAATCTTCGAAGAAAAGCATTAAGTTCTTCTCAGTATTGAAAAAGCAAAGCCAATTTGAGTGGACTAAAGAATGACAACAAGCGCTCAAAAATCTAAAAACATACTTGTCAAACCCACCGTTGTTGGCTAAACCAAAGGACGGTGAAAAGCTATTTATCTATCTCGTTGTGTCAGAAATGGCGGTAAGTGCAGTGATAGTTTGAGAAGATAAGGGTAAGGAATCTCCAATTTATTATGTTTGCAAGTCCTTATTAGATGTTGAAACTCGATATCCTCATTTAGAAAAACATGCTTTAGCACTAACAATGGCTTCTAGAAAATTAAGGCCTTATTTTCAACGTCACCCTATCTCTGTAGTGACCGCCTACCCCTTACGAAATATATTGAATAAGCAAGAGTTATCAGGTAGATTAGCCAAGTGGGCCATAGAACTAAGTGAATATGACATCACATATCAACCTAGAACTGCAATAAAATCACAGGTTTTAGCAGATTTCGTGGCAGACTTTAGCCCAGGGATGGTAATAGAAGTAGAAAAAGAACCGCGGGTATTTAACGGGTGTAATCCAGGTACTTGGACCCTGTTTACCAATGGCTCCTCAAATGTTAAAGGAGCGGGTTTAGGCATTATTCTAATCCCACCTTCGGGAGAAACTATAAGGCAAGCCATAAAGTGCCATCATATTACTAATAATGAAGCAAAATATGAAGCTGTGATTGCAGGTTTAGAAATGGCACGAGAGCTCTGAATAGAGCAGGTTACAATCAAAAGCGACTCACAGCTCGTAGTTAATCAAATGCAAGGGACTTATATAGATAGAGAGGCGAGGATGCAGTAATATTTGGAAAAGGCACGAGATATTATCAAGCAATTCCAAACTTGGAAAATCGTGCAGATACCCAGGGAAAAAATGTCGAAGCAAACACGTTGGCTAATCTTGCATCCGCTGCAGAAGTAACAAATGAAGAAAATGCTTCTGTAATACATTTGTTTCATTCGGCACTTGATCAAGATAAAAACGAGGTAAATTTCAATAATCTAACCTGGGATTGGAGAAACGAGATCGTTAATTGTTTGCAGTACAGAATTCTACCTGAAGATAAGAAAAAGGCTCAGGCACTTCGACGAAAAGCTGCCCGTTATTGTTTGGATCGAGACAATTTATATCAAAAAATGTTCGGTGGTCCATTAGTAAGGTGTCTTGGACCTTCTCAAACAGAGTATGTGATGAGAGAAGTACATGAAGAACATTGTGGAAATCACGCAGGAGGAAGATCCTTGGTAAAAACTCTAATTAGAGCAGGGTATTACTGGCCAAAAATAGAAGAAGGGGCAGAGAGCTGTGTGGCCAAATGTGACATATGCCAAAGATATGGTAACAACATGCATCGACCAACAGAGTTATTACCAGGACCTTTCTTCCATTGGAGTTATTACTAGGACCTTTCTTCGATTGGAGTTATTACCAGGACCTTTCTTCTATCCAAATCTGTTTGAAAGGTATTTCCAGGACCTTTCTTCCATTGGAGCCATTGTTAATAATTTTTCTACCCCACGGAAATCAGAAATTTCCTCAACAGTTCCCATGGTTGCTGAAAAAGAAAAGTAAAACAGTTACGAGAGTACAAGTTCTTTTTAAAAAAAGAGAAATAAAAGATTGGAAGAGAAACTCACGTGCAAAGTTCCACTTCTCAGGGAAGGGCATGTTTCTTCATCTACTAACCCACTTGTAGGAGCAGCAACAAATCGGGCATACCAGCCACGATCTTTATCGTCTTTAGGGCTAACCAAAACTCTCTTACTTCTCGCCACGAGAGTAAAAAACCCATGACAAAATAATTTGGTAGAGTAAAGATGAATTCGATGGTAAAAGGTGAAGGGTAACAGAGCCATATTTGACAAGTATCTCAGGCATGCCACATCTCTCCATACAATAGGCCCAATCTGTCCTAAACACACATAAAAGAAATGGCAAAACTCAATAATAACTGGGTCAATAGGTGGCCTAAAACCTAATGTGAAGGGATATGTATACACAAAAGAAAAACCAGATTTAAAGGAAGTGACCCTTTGATTCTTATTGGGGACCAGAATCGAGAAGTCAAATTTCCATTAGCAATCTCTACACACAATAGAAACTAAACCCTCAGTGATCTGGGAAGGGTAAACATCAGCACGATCGTAAGAAGTCATGGAAGTAACTTGATTTTTAATTAATTCTCTATCCGTAATAAAGGAGAGTTCAGCAGGAATAATCTCGTAGACAGTAGGTTCACGAAGACGTTCACTAGAATCTCTATTTCTAGCGGAAGATTTATGTAAAGAAGAAGCCCTAGTTCTAGAAGACGATGGAGGAGTAAACTGGGTTGAGAAGAAGAACCACGTACAGAAACTGACCCTAAACTACGCAACCTACCATCTCTCCTACTTCTGGTAGGAGCGGAAGAAAGGGGAAGTTCGTCTACTATGAGAACTTTTTGAGGATCAGGATTTGAAGAACACATAGTTTTATAAAGAAGTAGAACATACTGAAGAACAAGAACAAGTTGTGAATAAAGAACACTGAAGAAAGTTTTTCGTAAAAGCAAAGGCAAAGGATGTATTTATATGTAGAAGCAACCGTCATGTAAAAAAGGTAATGATGGAAACGTCATTATGAAAACTATCACTTCGTGACTGATGCAGCCGCAAAAAAGCCCTAAAATCCACTAAAGAGGTGCAGATCCAATCGATGACTGCCATGTGTCACATACATTAAATGGAAGTGACATAAGGCGCATTGGTTCAGAAGAAGATACAATGGTACGCGAGAAACGGCGGCAAAAATTCCCGCCTTAAATGAGATCAACTTCCCAAATATTCAATTGTTGAATAATTAGTAAGTGGGGGGACTATCTGTATTGGAGAAAATGAATATTACACGTGGAATTAATTATGTGGCCGACATGGCAAGACATGTGGATCACTAGAAAAGCGACAGCTGGAGAAGAGTATTAAAAAATACGTGAGTCTTAATAGATATGAGCAAAACGTCTAAGAGATGAGAAGAAACGGTTGCTCGGGTCTCTTTAGTGATTTGAAGAGACCCCGGTGGAATAAACCAAGACAGTAAAAAGGACAGATTCATTGGTCTTCAATTAATGAGCATGGATTATTACAAACGTTACAGAATCTTCACGAAACAATTACGATTACCAATTATAATATTTCATTAATGTCATTAATGCTCATAATGACTCGATCATAAAAGGGAAAAGACGTTGTACTTAGAGATCACTATATAAGGGAAAGAAATGTCATCTCTATGGACACGTTCTGATTATTATTGAAAAATAATTACTTACTTTTTCTTTCTATTGATTACTTCGCTATTTCATATTCTAATTTCCTTACTTATTGCGAGAATATTGACTTTCTTTATTATCAGTAGCCGAGTACTTTTAAAAACAAGCTTTGACCAAGATTTCTATTTTTTTTTTTTGTTAAACATACTCAAAATCATACAATAACCTTTGAGAGAATCTCGGGAAGATGAGTCAAAGTAGAGTAATTAGCTAAGTGCTTACGTATGTCTTTCAAGTCTTGGACAAACATGAATTAGTTTATTTAATAAATCATTTTTCTTTTCAAGTCAAACAATGTTTGGCGCCAGGCAAACGCAACCAAAATATATAGTATAAGAAGAATTGATAAAGAAAATAGTAAAATAAGAACCTTCAACCACTTCATCAAATTTTGAGACTCATGCTTATTAAAAGTATTCGGTCAATATGGAAACATTGAATTAGAAATTTTAATTCTCAAAAAAGAAACATTAAATTGTTACTTGGTTGGCAATACACTTCATTGATTTTTCCTTCTATAAAAGAAGACTACAGTTCAAGAGAGAACCACCAATTGGAAATTCCATAACATAGTTAATTAGCAAAAAAAATTGAGAACCAAGTTGTGAGATGGCAGAAGTGAAGTTGCTAGGTTTTTGGTATAGCCCATTTAGTCACAGAGTTGAGTGGGCTCTAAAGCTTAAGGGCGTGAAATATGAATATAGAGAAGAAGATCGAGATAACAAGAGCTCTCTACTTCTTCAATCCAATCCTGTTTACAAAAAAGTCCCTGTTCTCATTCACAATGGAAAACCCATTGTTGAGTCTATTGTCATTCTTGAATATATTGATGAGACTTTTGAAGGCCCTTCCATTTTGTCTAAAGACCCTTATGATCGAGCTTTAGCTCGTTTCTGGGCTAAGTTCCTTGACGATAAGGTAAATACCTATCTGCATAATTTAGTAGACTTTTATTTGAGACTAAAGTAATTTTGAATATTGTTTTATTCCATATATGATAGTTTAATCATGTCATGTGTCAATGTTCATATTTACATATCTGTATGTGTGAAACCATTATAGTGGAGGTGTTAAAAGGGGACAAGATAGACTTAAAATCGTACGGGAAGAAGTTGCTTCGAAATACCTACAATATCTCTTAATCCATGCAAATGTTACGGAAAAAAAATACGGCACAATGAAACACAAGATCTCTATAGAAGTGGTATCAATTAGTTGAGAATATGTTTTTGTGATGTTAGTACGTTTACTTGGGTCTTATATTTTCTAGAAATTTTTTAATCAATGTCATTTTTATATGTCAGTAGAAAATATAAAGAGTTTGGAATACTTTTCATAATTTTGTATAGCAAGGTGCAGATTTAAATGGAGCCGACTCTAACTTACTTGTGATTGAGACGTAGTTTTGTTGTTGTTATTGTTAAGTTAAGAGTGTTTTGTAGGTGACTGCAATAGTGAATACTTTCCTTCGCCAAGGGGAGGAGCAAGAGAAAGGTAAAAACGAAGTTTGTGAGATGCTGAAAGTTCTTGACAATGAGCTCAAGGATAAGAAGTTCTTTGTGGGTGACAAATTTGGGTTTGCTGATATTGCTGCGAATTTGGTGGCATTTTGGCTAGGAGTTTTTGAAGAAGCCTCTGGAGTTGTTTTGGTGACAAGTGAAAATTTTCCAAATTTTTGTAAGTGGAGACATGAGTACATTAACTGCAGCCAAGTCAAGGAATCTCTACCTCCAAGAGACGAGTTACTTGCTTTTTACCGAGCTCGCGCTCGCGCTCCCAAATGAACACATCCTCGATCATCTTATGAAGTTTCGGATTATGTATTTCAATAAAATTGTGAATCTAGGACGAGTTATGTAAATTCAATTATGTATATGTATGCAAAAAAAAGAAAAAAAATTAAATATATGTTTGTATAAGATTATGCTTGTTCACTCTAGATTCTGCATTCTCTTGATCCTAATAAAATAACTTGTTAGAAAAAGCTAGCTTAGCCTCAGCAAGTCACATACAAGAAGTGTCTCGAGTTACTGTTTTAATTTATTAGTTAGTCGGTGATTATACAATAATTAATCATATGAATTTCCTCTTCGATAGGGGCGGATTTATATGGACCCAAGCGGTGTCACGGGACACTGCTTTGTCGAAATTTTTTATATTATATATATATAAATAATAAATAAAACAGAAATACAAGATAAAAGCATTAAAGGTGACACCACTTGCGACAAAATAACTCAGTAGTCTAGTGGTTGACAGCTTCAAGTTTGATGTGAGAAGTCTTGGGTTTAAACTCCCTTGACTCCATAAAATATGTTTTGATTGTTATGGGCCTCTTACTAAAAATAGTGACACCGCTTATAAAAAAATTCCGTAAAAATTGCACGTCCTATTTGGTCGCCCCCATTTAACCTATACCCATTTTTTTTAAAACGTTTAACTTGTACCCACTTCTTAAATAACTTCAGCCCCCTTCTCCTCCTTCTCCTCCTTCGTTTTCTTCTTCTCAACAAAAGACAAAATGCAGATCTTTTTTGGACCAATCCCAGAAACGATACTTCACCCTGGGAGTAGCAGTTAATAACTTCAGCTCTTATTCTTAACTCATACAATTTCTCCTTTCTTCTTCTTTTAATTTATTTTGCTAACATCATCTTTATTCCTTTATACTGAATCAGATTGACTAGATTCTTGTGTAGTTTCATCCTTGTACATGTCATCTCCTGCTGTTCATCTATCTCGTGATGATTGGATTTGGCTACTGTCACAAAGTAATTCAGCTGTTAGTCAATTCATTAATTTTGCATTGTCATCATTAAAATAAAGCTTAAAGCTAACATAACAGTGAAGATGAGTATCATGTGTTATGTGCATTACAGAGAGGGAGTTAAAAGTAGCCAATTACAACACAAAAGCTTCAGCTCTAGAGCTGAAGTTTCCCAGTTACAACACAAAAACTTCAGCTCTAGAGCTGAAGTTTCCCAGTTACAACACAAAAACTTCAGCTCAAGAGCTGAACTTCAGGCTCGGCTACTAGAATGCTGAAGTTTTGCGTGATTGCCTTTACTATTTCAGTCCCGTGTGCTGAAATTATATGAAAAAGCAGGTACGCTTACAATTTTTTTTGTAAAACGGGCACAAATTAAAATGTGGCATAAAAAATGAGCATATGCAAATGCCCCAAAAATTCCGCACGCCACTGCTCATCGAATTGATGAAAGCAAGCCACCTATAATTTGATAAAATAGTGGGTGACATAAGCACATAAGTCATCTTATTGTTCTCGACATATTTAGATTATCAGATAAGCATCTAAAATAGTGGGTGGACATAAACACATGTCACTCACATATACAGGTAAAGGCATCGATCTAAAATGATAATTTATATTATTATAAAAGTGGGAAGCCCTTAGTTGGAAAGTTAAATTACTTAAATATTCTTTTTAATACACTAAATATTTTTATTTATAATTTTTTATCTAAAATAAAAACCCTCATCCGAAAAGGTGCCTTTCCTTTCCAAAATATGTGTCATTTAAGAAATGACTTGGCTTTTTAAAAATAAAACAAAGGAAAAACTGGAAAAGGCTAAAAATTTGAGAAAAGGATAAATGTGGTACATGGCCGAAGAGAGGACGTGCCACTTCACCTTCTTAATTTTCAGATTTCATATTTTTCAAAGTTTTTGAAATGGTACAAACATGCGGCTAAAGGCCAATGATGTAGGCTAAATTTATTTGCAAGTCTGAGTATTATTCTAATCAAAGAAATAATGGTCCTACAAGATTGTGATATTCTTTGCGGCTTAGAAGTTTTGAAAATCATATTGTTTCCATACAACATGACAAATGGCATAGAGATCCAAAATTAAGGATGAATAATTTTCTGAAGAAAACTAAGTCAACAAGTATGTGTGTGCAGTAATATCTTTAATTTGGATTTTCTTTTTCTTCTTTTTATTTCTTGATCTTTTGACGTCTTCTCTTAAAAATATGGAGATAAGAAAGCAAATAAATGGAGGAATCCATCACGCATCAATTATTTCTCTTCGATCGGTAAGTTAATGTCCTTCCAATACAACGGCGCAAATATTTCTCTCTTTTTGCATGTTAGTAGCTTTTTATTATTATTACTGAGTACTTTCCGTTTCGTGGTAATAGAACTCTTGTTTTCTTGTGCCTTACAAATATATTGGTTTTGTTTAGTATCTATTGCCATAATATCAAGTTTTTGGTTTAGTTTCTTTCTTTGGTTTATTTTGGAGATTAAAAAAGAGAAACTATAATGATTTACGTGGGATATCTTTTTTCATGCATTTGTTAAAGATCAAAATTATTATTTTGTATTAAATATATTTACAAATGAAAATATACAAATTATGAAAAGGCAATATGAAAAAATTACAAACTTTAGAAAGATATACTCAACTTTCATCGTTTTTTAAGGGTAAAGGCATGATAAAACACCTTAATTAATAATATGTATATATTTTTATTAGGTCATTTCTTACTACAAGAGAGTTTCTGTAACTATATTTGTTTATTATTCTACAAACAAAATGTACTTTATTAAAAGATAAAGTCAAGTTATTAGAAGAGAGGAACTGAATGTACAGTTTTACGAAGGTGCCTATAAGTGAGTGAAATTTAGAATATATGAGTGATCCTCAATTAAAGAACCATAACAAAATTTTAAAAATAATTTAAAGTAAATTATTAGCAAGCTATTATATTATATTTTAGTGCAGAAATCTAAATAATATTAATTCACTTGCTATTTTAAGTGAAAATAAAATAGAAAGAAATATAATACGAAAGAAAAAAATAGAAAAGAAATAGGCAGAGTAGTTTTGTAATATATTTCTCTTAAAAATATCTTAGAAAATATAAACACTTAAAATATTTTTTGCATCAAACTAAGCTTATTTTTAAAAAGACCAAATCTAAATAACAATTAATTATATACAAACACACACGAAAACTTTAATAATTTATAAGAATTAGTTGAAAGGATAAATTCTAATATGATGTTAACATGTTTTTCATATTTTCACTGCTTCTCGGATAATATTAACACAATCCTTTAAAAATCCATTAATCGGAAGAAATTCAATAACAAGGACTCTTGCCTCCATAAAAATACAATATTCAAATGCATGGGTGTGTGTTCCGACAGAGAAAGAAACCTCTCCTCAAAATATAAAAAGAGTAGACTAATCAAGATGTAACAGTTAGACTTTATTTTGCAATAATACTTTACTCTTCAATATATTTGAAATAACTTCTTATAGACTAAAAAGGATAATTTATATTTTATGCATTTTACTTGTGAGAAAAAAAATACATCTTTCAGTTAGTTGATTTCTTTTTTGTATTTATGAATAAATACTTTTTCAAGAAAATTCATACAAAAACTTAAACAATTTTAAGTTAAATATCTCGATTGAGATTTGAGATGATTGAGGACATATCCAGTAGAGTTTCTTCCTTTATTAGGCTGTTGTACTTACATACTTTTGTTTTTAACTTTTACTTTATAACTCAAACAAAACTTTTACTATTATATTTATGTGATTATTTAAAAATATAATACTTATTGAGATAGAGTACACGCGCAACGCGTGTGCAGAGAAACTAGTATTACTTATATGTAGTACAAGTAAGCTTCAATAAAAAATGGAGCTCTTATTCTTTTCTCGCTTGACTATGTATATCGACTAGGGGTGTACAAAGGAAACCGACAAACAGCACCAACCCGATAATCCGAGTCAAACCGAGAAAAAAAATCCGACTATAATTTGGTTTGATTTAGTATGGTGTTGGAAAAAAAAACCGACCATAATTGGTATGGTTTGGTTTTAACTAAAGAAAGTCAAACCGAAACCAAACCAACCCGACATTACATATATAAAAAATTTAGATATATTTAATATATAAATATACTTATTGTGACGTAATTTATAAATATTTCTTAAAGATATCTATAATTTTATCTTTTACGGTATTATTTCAAGGTTGGACTTAGAACGTTTGAATGCTCCAATAAGTTTACAGCCATTAATATTAGTAAATTAAATAATGCTAACAAAAACCCAAACCAAAATCAAATCAATACTAATGCTAACAAAAGACATTCAATTCAATATTATAAAAGGGAATGTATTGAATATCTATTTTTTGTTTTGCAATAATTTAGATAAAAATGCATAACCTATTTTTATTTTTCTTTAGCATTTAGTCATGTAATTAATGCTCCCTTATTAGTCTATTTATTTTAGCATGACTTAGTACTTTTAGATTATGTTTATTTTTATTATGGCTTTTTAATTAGCAATATTATATTACATAATTTTATTGTCTTTATTGTTGAATATTTTAGGATAATGCCATGACACATCTCATATTTTGCATTATTTTCCTGGAAAATACTTTATATAGTTGAATCTTATTAGGATTAAAGAAATATTTTGAGCATACGTTATATCTTTTGTTCTACGAAGATTTTACCGGAAAAAAACCCAAAAAAACCCGAATAACCCGAAAACCTGAGAAAAACCGAGATTGAAAAATCCGAGTTTTATTGGTTTGGTTTGGTCTTTAGATTTAATAACCCGACACAATTGATTTGGTTTGATAATTGTAAAATCCGAACCAACACGGCCTATGTACACCCCTAATATGGACAACATTAAATTTCTATAAATCTTAGAAAGCCAAGACCAATATTTATTCAAAATCCCAAATACGGTTTGCTAGATTGCAATGGATTTCAGAGTTAAAATAGCACGGTATAGCCAGTTTTCGGACTGGTCATTCAAAAATAGCTAGCGTTTACCAAGTCAATAAAAAATAGCCACTATTTTGCTGCAACAGAGACCGGTCCAGCATAATATACTGGAGTTCGGTGCACCTGTGTATGAACTCCAGCATATTCTGTT